GGCGGAGTAGATGTATCCGACATTTTTGTGGTCTAGTTTACTAATTTTTTATCAACATAGTCGAACCTGCGGAGTAGATGTATCCTATAGGCAGGGGGAGGTGGAGGCCGGGGGAGGAGGTAGAGGAGGAGACGGGAGGGGGAGGGGGAGCGGGAGGGGGAGGTGGAGGAGGAGACGGGAAGAGCGAGGGGAGGGGAGGGGAGAGCAGGCGAGATCGAGATAGAGAGAGAGGGGATTGGGTAGTGAGTGAAAAATTAGGGTTGGAGGTTTTATATAGTACCTGATTTTTGAAAATTGAAATTTGGTCCCTGATTTTTGAATTCCAAACTTTAACCACCTGAGTTTTTATAATTTCTCTTTTGTAATCCCAATTGGGTCACTTTAAAATTTATTTGGGTCACTAGGTGCTGTCCTCCAAACTAATAAAAATTATTTAAATCGATAGTTATATTCCATGTAGTCGTTATTTCGTTATGTCATAAAAGTACAAGCAATGCTATACTAACAGGGTAGGTGACAGAATTTAAAAATAGGGGACACATGTCAAAGATTGATTGGACAGTTAAGGGAACCAAACAAGTGTTGACACGCAGCATCTGTCACTTGTTCCCTGTTACCAACCCTGGCTATTTATCATTTCTCTAAAAGCACCGAAGTAAAAAAATATGCATGAAGACATTAATATAAACTTATTTTAATATCTTTGTTAAAAATCGATGGTTCTCATTCAAAATCCAAATATGTGTTAAATTCACAGAAAAAGACAAATTACTCTCAACTTAAAATAAGTAATAAAGTTTATATACATATAAAAAGAACAAATTTAAAAAACTCAAAGAGAAGCAAATATTTCATTGATTTGATCTCTATTATTTCTATCAATTAAATCGGTGGTCGAATTTGATTAAGACGACTACTAATATGTGTCTAATTGCTTTTACAATCATGCTATAGGTATATCGTCGGCATTGGAACATGGGAAAACAAAACCAAAGAAGGTCGATTGGATTTGGTTACGTCAATGTCGGCATCAATTCTATCAAAAAATTTGTTCACTCGGAGCTTTATTCTTGCTTTTAGCACGCACGGATTCCATTTGAAATATCTTCCACGTATAAAAAAATAGTTGGTTAATTATTGACGGAAAATTAAATTAATAAATCAGAGCGTTGATCGAAATTGGCGCCCCTTTCTCCTGTCCTGTCTCCACCTTTTCTTTACAACTCATACGTGTTCTTCAAACTTTTCAAAAAGGGTACTGGTTTTTTTGTGATCGCAAAAAACATGTCATTCCGTAGGCGAACATTGCTCAAGGTCATCGTCCTCGGCGATAGTGGGTAAAATTTTCCCCCATTCTTTTGTTTTTGTTTCATTGACTTCGGTAATTCATAATCTCTGATCTTACGGTTTTATTTTTATTTTTTGAAGGATTTTATGTGTTAATTTTATTTTAATGTTTTCAGGGTGGGTAAAACGTCATTGATGAACCAGTATCCTTTTTCAGTAATTTCATTGATGACAAACTAAATAAGTAAATAAGTTTTTAGTTTATGTTTGTAGTCGTAGACCATGATTATTGTGTTAGATTATTAATAGTGGCTGCATTGTATTTTCTGTTTCTGGTGACGGTTTCATGTACTATATGGGTATGGAGTTCTTTAATTTATGATTTAGATATGTACATAAGAAATTCAGTCAGCAGTATAAAGCTACCATTGGGGCAGATTTTGTCACCAAGGAACTTCAAATCGACGACCGTCTTGTGACTCTTCAAGTAGCGCAAAAAATATAATTTCTTTCATGTGTTTTTTTATATATAGAATTAGGCCATGTTTGGTTCACATTATTTTCTTCATCCTCGTTCTTCTACTCATTTTCAACCACACATTCTTCAATAAAATAATATTTTCCATCACATCAACAACAAAAATGCATTTTTACCTTCAAAATGTGCACCAAACGGGAGCTAAATTAGTCATTAAGTTTAGGATGAACGTGCGTTTTGTATTGTTAGATATGGGACACTGCCGGCCAGGAGAGATTTCAGAGTCTTGGAGTTGCATTTTATAGAGGGGCGGATTGTTGCGTTCTGGTATATGATGTCAATGTAATGAGGTCCTTTGATACTCTCGACAACTGGCATGAAGAATTTCTCAAACAGGTTCGCTAGTTTATCTTGTTCAGCTCTTTGTACTACAGTTTCCAAGAGGTCTAAAAATTTACTCATTTTAATGTATAATGTGCTGTGAAATACTTCTTAAAACTTTTCAATTCAAACAAATCAATTATTTTTTCCTTCTGGAATTGTATAGGTGTACACAATCCCTATTAGTTTCAACTACGGTCTAAAATATTTGTAGTTTGGTTATCACCTATCATTGTGAAACTTAGTGCTTAAGTTCGTGGAATTGATTTTGTAGTTGTTGGCATTTATATTTCTCAATTACACATCTTCCATAGCTGTATTATTAACATATCTTTGCACTTGCTAAGACAGAGGTAATCTGCCAGTGGACCTTTTTGTTTCATTTATGTCTCGGGGTTGGGGTGGTCTAGAACTGATCATGCTGAAAATAGGATGAAGGATTTATTATTATCAATCTGAACTGAATTCTTTGATGTTAGTTGTGATTAAGTTCGTATTTGGTTTCATCAGAAGGCCACTTGGTGGATTGCCCCAAATTCTAGACTTGAGGATGAGTAAAGTGTTAGATAATACTTTCGTGGTGACAATTTTGAGTTCTTTTAAATTTTTAACCAACCACGGGGTTGATTCTAGTTTTTAAGCTGAATCTTTATGGAACCTCTTCTCTCTATGTTGCATAGTTTTACATGAGAACAAGCTTTGCTATATTCTAAAGATTAAGCAAGCTCCAAGAATAGCTTTTAGCTTTGATTTTTTACGAATATCTGGAATTGCCAAGGTTGGGCTTTCCAAGTGGGGGTTATGTAGCATATATTTCTTTTCTTATGTCTGTATGTTTGATCCATTCAGAGAATGTCTCATTAGGCATTGGAAATTTAATTATTTTACTAAATGGAATGGTTAGAATTTGGCAGCACTGGAGTATCTATATTTGATTCCTGTTTGATTAGGAATTATTTTTACCTGTTAGCATAAACAATATTGTTGATGGGTTTATAATTACCTAATGTGAATCATTTAGATGATCTGGTTAGTGGCCATTCTTATATCTAATCTAAAAAAAATTGTATCGGAAACAAACATACTATGCTGCATGAATCCACGAAATGCAAAGGTTGTGATTATGCATTATAAACTGGAATCAAGAGTAAAAATTTAAGGAAAGACTTGATTACAGACATAACTAATCCACCACCTTTTGATATAATAAACAAATTTTAACATCTTATTTAAAATAGGTTCATCATGACCTCAGGTTGATCTTTGTACTGAATCGGTATTAACTTGGATGGTTATAGACTTATGTGGTCAATTTACTTCTCCTTTAACTATATCCCCTTTATTGCGTTTAGAATTGATCCAAGTCTTGACTAGTATGTTTAAATCTCATCGCAATTTATATCAGACTTTTTGGATATGGTTGTTAATTGCCATCACTTGAGAATTATGCGAAAACCTGTCTACTTGTTTAGTTTGTATGTCTTATATAAACGTGACTCTTGTCTACTAGTTTAAACTTTTAAATAATGTTGTTCAACAGATATCAAAATAGTCAAAGACACTCAGTGCAAGACTCAACTCCTTTTTTTTTTCTATGAAAAATAGTGCATGCGTCAGGAATGAAAAACCAAATTTTGGTCTACACCTTAGAGGGGCGTTAAGACTAAATTTAAGTAAACTAATGTTTCCCTCTCATGCAGCCTAAGTTCTTTGATGGTGGTTCAACAAATGTTGAGTTCGCCCGAGCATTCCTTTCTTACTTGCTTGGTCCACAAACCCTAAATGATGCTTGTTGCTGGCCTTTAATCAAGTTTTAGATTTAGTGTAATTTAGCTCTTCTTTTTTAATCTATTTTTTCTCAATCCTTGTTACTTGAGACTTACCTTAGACACCTTACTAACATAGGACGAGAGAGATGTCATAAATCAATTGTCCCTACTATTATTAAGTCCTAGTCTCATTTATACTTAAATTCCTAGCAAAAATGAGAAGTTAAAAAACCAACAAATATAAAATTTCATAACTTAAAACTTATAATTATCAAAATAAAAGTACAAGAAAATAAATGAAAACAAATTACAATTTACTTAAAATATTATGCTAAAAAAATATCTTTTTTGGCACTTTCTAATGCCAATTCCATTACAATCTTCATTATCTCCCCCAAGATTAAAAAGAACTCGGCTCCAACAAGCAAAACTGATTAAGACGTCAAACTCCTCTCCTGATATTTAAGTATCATCGGTAGACGATGCTTTAAATATCCGCATCTATGACAACACATGAAGTTACTTTTTTTACTGACAAATGGTATACAGGAATAGAAGTTTTTTCCCTGAGGAACGGTACCATCAACAGTAAATTTATGCTATTGAATTGTATTGTGAATATTAATCTTATTTTACCAATTGATGTAGGATGAGAGAAATGAAGTGAGTGGACAAGGAAAATTGGAAGAAGTTCATAGAGAGAATGTGAAATTTCAATATCACTTAATATTATAAATCAGCACAAAAATAACATTCTTAGACAAATGGAAAGTAAATTTCAATGTCAATTAATATTATAAATCAACAGAAAAATAACATTCTTAGACAAATGGAAAGTTACCAAAATAAATGTAAACTCTCCTAACTTAAGAGACGGAAATAAAGAACATGTTTTGGGAGTGCGTATAAGTTGAGGGTCCTACGAAATGTCTTGGGTAGGTCATACAAAATGTATGGATAAAAGTATTATGACCAGCTTAAATTATAATTTAGGCTTTGCCAAACATGCACAACATAAATTAAAAATAAGAAAATCCATCACCTTTTATTTTATTTTTATGCCTATAATACACATGGTGTATTTTTTACATGTTTTCAGTTCCAATTCCATCACCTACCTTCTAAAATCTTTGGGAAAACTTATTTTTTCGTGTGATTAATGTAAATCTTATGTGCTGTGTATCTCATTAATGATCCCGACTTATTTTACCTTTAGTGGCTTCATAATCAAAACTTCTTCACTCCTCTGTCTTTTGTTTTTTTCAATTTAGCTTCTAGAAAATATCTGGAATGCTGGAGAATGATGCAATATTCCTTTGTCTTTTATGTCTAAAGCATTGTACTTCTTTTATAAATGTGGTGGGTGAAATTTTGTTGAAACTTCTGCAACTACGTGTATAGACAGGGTTCCTTTGTGAATTAACAGAATTGGCTCTTTTGCAGGCAAACCCTCCTGATCTAAAGAAGTTCCCCTTTATATTACTAGGAAACAAGATCGATATAGATGGTGGAAATAGCAGAGTGGTAAGTTCAGTTGCTATGGTGTAAAATACAAGAGCTGTTCGCATTTGGCCTAATTTCTCAAACTACAGGTTTCTGAGAGGAAAGCCAAGGAATGGTGTGCATCGAAAGGGAACATACCGTACTTCGAGACATCTGCAAAAGAGGATTACAATGTTGATGCTGCATTCTTGTGCATTGCGAAGAATGCTTTAGACAATGAGCATGAGCAGAGCATGTCAGTGTGGACTTAATATTAGAACCATTACCTATTGAATTGTTGCCATGTTCTGCGTCTTCTTTCTTTTGTCATCCTCTCTCTCTTCTGAGTGTGTGTGTTAATTTGATATGCATTTTTTGTTTTTTGTTTTCTTTCATCACTTGTAGGATGACAATGTAGCTGGAGTAATATGTTTTAGGGAAGTGTAGACCAATGGCCTAACTTAACCTAGGTGTATTATTATTCACACCTTAAGCCTAGAATAACCATTGAACAAGACCCTTAAAGTCCTTACATGAAAATTGCATTGAAATATTCGTAGAAATATATTAAAAAACATTGAAGATCTTAGCAAAAAAATGTAATTTGTAGAGAGAGAATAGACTCTGAAATTAATATATCATAGTATATTTGTCATATGAGATATAATAGTCTTTGTGCACTTTGTGCTGCTAAAATTGTAATCTGGAGCAAGTGTTTCGAGGCTGTTGAGTATCCTCTGTGTAAATAGATATATGATATTTGCATTATTTTATTAGAGAGGCAGCGGGAAAGGAAACTTGGGATCGCTTTATTTTCCATATCCATTTGACAATGTTATAATGATATGTAGATAGCACACAAATTTATTTCTATATTTTCCTACTTTTTTTTTTTTTTTGGTGATTTTGAGGAAGACTACTCTATGGAATGGTTATTAGAAATGGTGTTAGAATGCAAATAGAAGCACATGACAGTGCTTCGGTTGTAAATTGTAATGACTAGGCATAACAAAAATTTCTGAGTTTTTCAACTGTTGGTTGATCACACTAATAATGTGATATCAGAATTAAGATTTCAACTTCTTTGAGTATTGGTAGATCAAGGCATTTCTACATTTTCTTTGTGCTCTCTCTTTGAAATGGTTTCATTTAATACCTATAACATAAACACAGAAATCTTTCAAAAAAGTTACATTATATAACATTTGGTTAATTCTTTACATTATTATGTTTCTTTGGGAGGTGGGTATCACTTCCCTGGCTTACAGTCTCTGAGATTACTTTTTGCTTCTTGTTTTTTCGTTTACATTTTTCCCCTTAATAATTCTTTTTATGTTTGCATTTACAGATATTTCCAGGGCATGCCGGAGGCTGTTTCTGAATCAGAACAACAAGGTGGTTGTGCATGTTGATATGAGTTATCACTTCATTTCAAATGCATCAATAACTTTCTTATTGCATATTTATTTCCTTTTGGATGTTATTTGTAGTCATTCTTTTGTATTCACTGTATGTTATTTATTCTCTCGAGATTGAGACAGGCTTGCTTTCCTTCTATGCTATAGTAGTCATTAACCACGAACCACCCGGGTTATGGACTATTTGTAATTTTCTTTTTCACAATGATTTTTTGAGTTGCGAAAAGCTTTACTTTTCTTCTTCATGAATTTGACAGAAACATAGTTGAAGTCTTGTTTGATATCGATTGAAATCTAAATTTTAATCTAAATTAAAGTTAACAATTAATTTTAACAACATATTTTATGCAATTCATTACTTTTCAACTTTTATAAATTTTTTTTAAAAATCTAATTCTAATTCCAATTAAACAAAGGCAAAATCACAATAAATTTTATTTTTTTCTCTTTTCTCCTGCTCTCTCTTACTCTCCCCCTCATGGTTTTCACCAAAACTTTAACCTTCTAATTTTTTAAAATTTGTCATTAATTTCTCTACAATTATCATATCTACTACAAATCTTTACTTTCTAACCAAAATTTCAACTAATTAGAACCTAAATTTGTGTTCTCTCTTATCATGTTGTATATATAGAATGTGTTTGAATTAATTATATCAAGTTTGATTTATATTTAACGAATTGTGTTTATTTGATTGATTATTAGCATTGAATATTGATTATATGTTTTTTTCCTTTTGATTATTTAAATTGATTGTTTGTATCAAATACGCTATAAATTTTTTAAACATAAATATAAATTTTATTGTGATGAGCAAAATATTAATAAAATGACTATTTGATATCAAATTGATGAAAATGATGAGCAAAATATTAATGAAGAAATGTTTTTTAAATGTAAATCTGTATTTTCTCGGATCAAGTATGAATAAATCAAAAATCAAGAACAAAGTATTCGATTTGTACGGGGTTTAATTGTGCCCCTAACTCCAAATGTTTGCATATGTCCATGGCACCAATGTGATATTATCTTCCAAGTATAAGACATACACATATAACCAAAATAACAGAGTATTAGTTACAATTTCAAAAAATTATATACAATATTAACTCATTGTAACTTAGCTCTTGTTTGATCCTTACTTTTATCAAAATACATTTTTCTTTCTCTTCTTATCAATCACATTTTTCAATAAAATAATATTACAGGCAACCCAAAATTTTTGTTTAATTTTTAACCACAGATTTTCCATCAATTTACTATTCCAAAATGTATTATACACCAAAAATAGAGCTCAAACATGTCCTTATTAAGAGTAGGGCTTCTCAAAAAAAAAAAAAAAAAATTGTAAAAAATTTGGGGGGGGGGGGGGGGGGCGGGAGTCATTCTTTTGTATTCACTGTATGCTATTTATTCTCTCGAGATTGAGACAGGCTTGCTTTCCTTCTATTCTCTCTAACCACGAACCACCCGGGTTATGGACTATTTGTAATTTTCTTTTTCACAATGATTTTTTGAGTTGCGAAAAGCTTTACTTTTCTTCTTCATGAATTTCACAGAAACATAGTTGAAGTCTTGTTTGGTATCGATTAAAATCTAAATTTTAATCTAAATTAAAGTTAACAATTAATTTTAACAATATATTTTATGCAATTCATTACTTTTCAACTTTTATCAAAATTTATTAAAAATCTAATTCTAATCCCAATCAAACAAAGGCAAAATCAAAATAAATTTTATTTTTTTGTCTTTTCTCCTGCTCTCTCTTACTCTCCCCCTCATGGTTTTTACCAAAACTTTAACCTTCTAATTTTTTAAAATTTGTCAGTAATTTCTCTACAATTATCATATCTACTACAAATCTTTACTTTCTAACCAAAATTTCAACTAATTAGAACCTAAATTTGTATTCTCTCCTATCATGTTGTATATATAGAATGTGTTTGAATTAATTATATCAAGTTTGATTTATATTTAACGAATTGTGTTTATTTGATTGATTATTAGCATTGAATATTGGTTATATGTTTTTTTTCCTTTCGATTTCTTGAATTGATTGTTTGTATTAAATACACTATAAATTTTTTAAACATAAATATAAATTTTATTGTGATGAGCAAAATATTAATAAAATGACTATTTGATATCAAATTGATGAAAATGATGAGCAAAATATTAAAGAAGAAATGTTTTTTAAATGTAAATATAAATTTTTTAAACATAAATATAAATTTTATTGTGATGAGCAAAATATTAATAAAATGACTATTTGATATCAAATTGAGGAAAATGATGAGCAAAATATTAAAGACGAAATGTTTTTTAAATGTAAATCTGTATTTTTTGGGATCAAGTATGAATAAATCAAAAATCAAGAACAAAGTATTCGATTTGTACGGGGTTTAATTGTGCCCCTAACTCCAAATGTTTGCATATGTCCATGGCACCAATGTGATATTATCTTCCAAGTATAAGACATACACATATAACCAAAATAACAGAGTATTAGTTACAATTTCAAAAAATTATATACAATATTAACTCATTTTAACTTAGCTCTTGTTTGATCCTTATTTTTATCAAAATGCATTTTTCTTTCTCTTCTAATCAATCACATTTTTTAATAAAATAATATTACAGGCAACCCAGAATTTTTGTTTAATTTTTAACCACAGATTTTCCATCAATTTACTATTCCAAAATGCATTATACACCAAAAATAGGGCTCAAACATGTCCTTATTAAGAGTAGGGCTTCTCAAATAAATATATATATATTGTAAAATATTTACATCTATTGTCAATTTAGGTTGTAACTTTGCAAAAATTAAAAAAAAAAAAAATCAATATTTTCAATACGTCCTCTATTTTTCCTATTTGTGTAAATTTCCCTATATTTTAAGTTGTTAACAATCACATATAAAGCCTTCAAAAATCTTAATTTAAAATGTATGGTCCAATTTAAATTGGGGCCAAGTACAAATCAAACTGTGACAAGGGTGACCAGTTCAAATTAATTCAATTTTTCAGGTTGATTTGGGTTGAAAATATTCAAACCAAATTGTTCGGTTCAATTTCAAGTTGGTTCAAAAACGAACCAACCCAACCACGCCCACCTCTACCCTTCTTTCATGGGACAAATGTTTATGTGCAATTTCCCATTCATAATCTGTCAAAATGAAATCACAAGTGAAGAAATTGTCACATTACAAACCGTCCAAATCTTGTCCAAAACCTATGATTGGTTTCTGAAGGGCCCACAAAACTTTGCACAAGAAAATCGACGGCTACTATAAGGCCACGATATTAACAATTATTATGGTTGACAAGAGTAGTCATCAAGCTGATTAAGCTGTTTTACTTTAATTTTCGCTATTAGTCAATTTAGTGCCGACCTTGGATATCTTTGTCCTTCATTTGTTCATTATTATGTTGTCTGTATATATAAAAGGTTCACTATTATTTGTAGTGGTCAACCTCTTGAATTGATTCCGAGGTGAAAATATTTTAGACGAGATCGTACTCTAAGCCACTGTTTATTTCTAATTTTAAGTAGAATTTTTATCGTTGCTACAGTTGGTGAGACGCAATATTTGACCACTTTCCTCTTAGAGGGCCCCCCCAATTTTTTGAAAATAAAAGGTGCAAAAATTCATTTTCAAGTTAAAGCAACGTGAAACAAACAGGGGCTAATTTTCGGTAAATATTAGATTCTTAGTTTAAAAAAAAGCTTTATATATTTCGATGAAAATATTTTCATTAAATTTATGTTGGACGATTTTAACAACACACAAGCTTGACCAGTTATAGAATTAGACAATATAATTTCTAAAAAGTATCGGCTCCGTAAAAAATGATGGAAATTTTTTTATTTTGAATATAAATTAAAAATAGATCATGGGTGAAATCGAAAATATTTTAAAAAGGAAAAGGCATTTTGACTTGTTCTGAAACTTGAAATTGGTAATAACACAATAATAATGGGACCATTGAGCCAAAAAGAATAAAGCTTCTTGTACAGGGATAGCAAAAAATTCCGTTCAACCCGAAACTCGCGGGGCCCCGCCCTGAATGGGACGGTGATTACCAGCATAATCGGGTAAACGGGACGAGAATGGGGTGATGGTCATTACCCTGAAGCGGGTACGAGAATCATAGTCCCCGTCTCACTACTCGTCTCGTTTAAAGTTAATTTTAAATTTAAGTTTTTTATCAAACAAAAATAATAGATTTATCATATTTTTAAAGAAAACATAGGTTGTTTCTAATAAATTGGTAAAAAAGTAATAATAATTTTAAATAAGGACATAAAAAAATAAAAGTAAAAAATAAAATGAATAAATAATAAAAATAAAAAATAAATGAGGCAATAAATGGGGCAAATGACCTGTCCAGCCTTTATCTCGCCCTGAACCTGCCTCGTCCCGTCATAAACGGGTATGAGGATGGGGTAACGTAACAAAAATACTCGATGGAACGGGGGTGGGAATGACCGACCCGTCTCATACCCGCCCCGTTGTCATCCCTATTTTTGTACATTTATTAGTTGATATGAAATTTGACACTCCATGTATTTTCAAATGCAAATAGGCGGGAAAATGTATTTTATTTTAAAACTTTCCACTCATGCCACAATACAGGGCACAATGTCAAATGAAGTGTACATGTAGCATGATTGAAAAGAGAATAACTGGCCCACCTTCAACTAATCAAGATCAAACACGTGTACACCAGAAATCCCCGACCATACATAGGATGGATGTTATCCCATTCACATACATACCACAGCAGCCCATAAAGCTGAGCAATAAATGTGGGACACACGAGGTCATGGGCAAGTGGGTAAGAAGATATAACTCTATCGTCTTGATGGGCCACGTATACTGATCAAAGCCCGATTAAAAGTCAAAGGCGGCCCATTATTAAATCTTTGGTATATCAAATGCTTCGTTTCTATTGGACAAAATTAAGAAGTGGCATAAATATCTAAAGAGT